CCTGTTGGCGACGGTATAAGCGACTGCGTGTCACGTCTTCGTACGGAGGAAACTCGTTTTTTTTTCACGCGCCTGAGTTTTCTAATTTTTAAAACCTTTATAGTTATCGGATTCAGAAAACAATATACTCGTACCTGTAATAATACTATCAAAAATTTTGACTTGTTTTGTTTGTTAACTGCTGTTTTAACGCCGCAGTTCGCGTTGCGAATGTTTCACAAGAATGCTGGGTTGTGAACAAAACTTTCGCCCCAGGCGGGACTAGAACCCGCACCTCTCGCTTTCCGGGCAAGTGCGCTACCAGTTACGCTACCGGGAGCGAACCCATTTCATCCAACTCAGCTTTTCATGGTATACGTACCATAGCCTTCAGCACTCACACGTCTAACGTGTTGAGCCGGTTAGCCGATATCGGCAATGACCGCGAGGCTGAAAGCTTTAGCAATGAATTTTGACTTGTTTTGTTTGTTAACTGCTGTTTTAACGCCGCAGTTCGCGTTGCGAATGTTTCACAAGAATGCTGGGTTGTGAACAAAACTTTCGCCCCAGGCGGGACTAGAACCCGCACCTCTCGCTTTCCCGGCACAAGGCGCTACTCACTTTACGCTTAGACCTGCAGGGCAATCTTCGTCTATTACATAAAAGTAAGACTCATAAAAATAATTAAAACGCAGATCCCTAATGCAAAGGGGGGAAACTGCCTGTCGAAATGTAGAACACTTTCAGGCGCCCGATGAACCGACTCATCTGAGTTCCTCATGAAATTCTCGTTTCTTGCCGAATGTACGGTAGAGCCATCGGTCGATATTCAAAGCATTGTAACATAACGCAATTTTGCAAAGCGAGGGAAGTTTGATCAAAATGGCTGCTAAGAGTTTTGAGACGAAATTTGGGCGATGGTCGTCAGCATCTTGTTGGGATTTGAAACATTTCTCCTCTAAAAGACCTACTCCGATGCATCAAGTCAATTGTAAAGCAATAATCCCAGGTTAAATAGTTGCGCTAAATTCGGAGCCAAGCCAGTTTAATTGGTTGTGCAGCAAACTTGGTGACCATGCAAGCCGAACACCTCGCCAGACAAAATGGAGCTCCTTTATGATGCCATTGACAATGGATGTAAATGCTCTCACCGTATTTACCATCGAATCCGAAATTCACCTTCTCGCGCTAGTTTTCTCGAGGTACAGTGGCGCTCAAAAGTCTTCGGTGGAACTGTGAGCAGCAAGTCAGACTTCTTGAATGGCCAAGCCAATCCCCCGATCTAAATCCCATAGAGCACATGTGGGAAGAGCTCAAAAGACGTTGTTCCGGCAAATATAGCAAAAACAAAGAAGAAAAGTTCGCTGAACTAGTGAAAGAGTGGTACGCCATGCCAATGTCTACCATCCAAAAAATTATCGGTTCGATGCCTTCGCGCTGCGCCGCTGCCATCAGTAGTCGAGGTTTTCCTACAAAATATTGATGCTTGTAGTATATTGCATTTTGTTATCTCGAATAAAATGGTTTTTCCTAAGCCTATGCTATCCGTGTTCCGCACTGATCTTGAGTTTGATCTCAACTAATGCGCATTGCGGCCAAATAGCCGCAATTATTCACAATATGTCATTGATCAACATACTGCAGTTTCGGTGGATTTCATGCAGTAGGAAAAAAGTTACGCTTGAAAGAGCATTCCACCGAAGACTTTTGAGCGCCACTGTAGGTCAAATAGCATACAGCTATGCACCAATTCAACTGAAGCACATTTTGGAACCGCCACAGAACCTCGTCGCTTGTCACAAGAACATCACAGAAGTTAGCACAATGCCGATTATGAAGTGAATAATCCACAAATAGGTAAATGACCATACAAACAAACTAAGTAAGCAGAAGGGATTATAGCAGTAGTAAGTAAAGTAAATAACAAATGGAAAAATGAAAATCGCGCATAGCCGAAATTTTTCCTTCCTTTTTGCTTTTTTTTCCTGCTTGCTATTCGTTTCTTGCTCTCTTTTGTCCTGCCAAAAGTTTGCAGTACTTGGTACTTGATAGTGTCTGGTGTTAAGCAGTTGTTTAGGTTGAAATCAGGTTTTTAAACCGCAGCTTGGGCTTATTACATTTGAAATTCAAACACAAATCGAAAGTAGACACTGGCCAATTTTCTCTCCCAATATATCAAAAGATTAACTGTGTTGCTCAGAACCGAAAGTACTTCGAAATTGAAGAGGCCCCTAATTCACGATCAATCACCTGCGATCAATTTTGGAGGTATAAACGCATAACACGGCAACTGCTGCGTGCTTCTAATACGTAAAAAAGGGATCTCCACCCAGACCCATTGGAACCAGCTGGCGGACCGAGTTTTCTGTACGAAATGCATGTCGGTAGCCCACTTCGACGCACGACGTGAACAGATTATACTTTCAAACCCTACCCCATGATGTGGATCTCTACCTAACCGGCATTCGTGCAAAACTAATTTCCGGCCCGCAACGTCCATTTCCGTGAAAATACTTTAAAAGAAAAGTTTCGATTCAGACCACTTAATCACCTAATAGGCTAAAAAAGACCGGACGCAACTGCAGAGGGCGGCCCACGTCCTGCATCGGAGGCGGAATCGCGCACTGGGAAGCCTCCACCTAATATGACTTGGACAGCTCCAACCTTTCGACACTCTTCCGCCCACCGCACATCTTGTCTGCGTCGCAATGCTGATCTGCTATGCTCTCTCTTCTCGTATTTCTCTACCTCCGCGCTCACATTATCTCTCATCTCCCTGCCGGCCTTTTGAACTTCTCCGCAGCGTAGAGCAAAAGGCTCGTATTTCCTGTGTATTTCACGATTTTTTCTTTTTTCTCCACTGGCGGTCCACTTCCACCCCCTACTCGCATTTATAAAATTACCTCATTAATTTAATACTGAATCTTGCCTTTAATTATCTTCGATACTTTCAATACCGTATAACTACACAAAAATCAAACAATCATTCTAAACCAATTTAAAATAGGTAATAGATCAAATGCCTTGTTGATATCGCAAGGTGCCCCATCCTTCTCTCAATTCGACGATCTCACTGGAGTGAAGAATATAAGTTCGTGCAGGTATCCCTTTGAAAGGATTGAACTTGTAGTGACACATTTGTCATTCGCACGGCGAAAACGAAAATACTATAAAAATACAAGCGAAAAATATCTTCAAAATGCATTAAATGTTCGGAAGCAGACATGAAGTCATGCAAACTGAACGCAAAACTTGAGTATCCAAAACACCTTTCGATATCCTGAAGAACAAGGTTTGAGATTATTCTGGCGTGCATAATACTCTGCAGTTTCCAGCTGCGCTACGATCCGTAAATATTTCGTTTTTGAAGAAAAACCATTATCGGACGAAGAAGCTCAGTTCCCTCTATCTTATGGTCTTCTCATTTACAGAGACATTGTAACAGGTGCCATATTGCTAGAGTGCTTCTCATACTCACTTCCATATAAACGTTCAATTTTATATTTTAATCGACGCACATGTGAATGAGCTTAACCATTTTTTGATTGTGTATATCGACCGATCAGCAAACATGGGACATAGAACAAGCAACACCAACGATGCGGTACATAGAAAGTGGGACAGATATAAAGAACATAAGGATGTTCAATTCAGCATCGGGGCGTTTTATGGGTCCCTTACATACTCACAAAAGCTACTATCTTTCTCCTACTAATCATACTTTCTCTTCCTCACGTCACCGTACGTATGTGGTGTCCAACAGCAAAGAGTAATTGGTAATAGAGAAATTGCGACTTGCGGGCGGCTTTCAAGTGCGTGAAGTCAGATCACCCTGGATCCCAAACAACGGTTTATAGTCCGCACTCGCCTGCAGGTCCAGATCTTATTGCCAATTGTGGTCGGCTTACAGAGCACATGCAAGCATATCATTTCGTAGGGTAGTGCCGCATGAAATCTGCATCGTTAGCATAGCCAATAAGCCGCGAAAATTTTGCAAACACTGTCGTCTCTTGCTAAGGGGAATTTTTTCTCCCAAAATCAGCTGGAATTTTTCTACATAACATAAACTAACTTGGGCATGGTACCCAGGCTACTGCACTCCGAAAGCAAATGTTAACCAACGATAAGTGTGGCGTTGCAGAACAACGCTGATCAGCATGTTTCCTACGTTACTCTACGCCTAATGTCGCCTTGCAGTTTTCTTTCTGAAGTACTTACGGGTCCTAGGGTTCTCAGTGAAAGCGGTGCTGTTTGAAATGCTACTTTATAAATTCGCTGCGGATCAGGTTATCGCCACACAATTCTAACCCAGCCTGATTGTTCCTAATTGAGCCTTCGGAAGTGGTACCAATTTTTATTCTGCTTAAAGGAATCTTCCACGGACCATGGACCAGTGGGCGGGACCGGAAGTTTTTGTGACGAAATGCATGGTAGGTACGGATCCACGTGTCGAACGCACGAACGTGAACAGGATTCACTTCAAACCTTCCCATGAACGTGGATCCGTACCTACCATGCATTTCGTCGCAAAACCACTTCCGGTCCCGCCCACTGGTCCATGGTCCGTGGAAGATTCCTTTAAGTTTCGAGGAACTCCCCTTCTTCGAAGCCGTTGAGTCCAAAGCATATCGCAAAACGATTACTTCCAGATACTATTTCAGATTTACAAGAAGGAAAACTCAGAGAAAGGGTCGGTACTTTGTTCAGGTGGCCACGGTGGGTAGGGCTACGCATAGTATGCATACTTTCTCGTTGCCCGCTTACTGCAAACTAGACCCAATCTTTCCAGGTTATTCACAGGTAGTGCCGAATTTCGTGACACGCAGAGAGAGACAAATAGCCAGACAGATGGACATGACCTCTATACGCAATAGGAATGGCAAAGAATGCTGAAAAAAAAATGGGAAATCTCACTCGTCGTTTTTCAAGGGAACTCTATCTCAAGCAAGATCGCTGAAAGCTAATTGGGAATACGCTCTTCTAGGTGATGCTTGAACTTAGTATTTTCTACCATCCTCAAAATGCATATTGCATTGCGGTCGATCAAGGAGCAAGGCGGAAGTTCAAGGAATTTATTACGAAATTGCCGTCATGTTTTAGCAACATTGTTGCCTTCGTGAGTTGTTCTTACTTATTTTCTCCAAACACTTTATGGTTGTCGAAGCGTTTCCATTCTTTGGTAATCGCCCCTTAACAACGGCTGTAGCACACTTTTTCACTAGTGCGATACGGATATTTGTTTACTGTGGAAAAAATCGTTCTAAGGATCATTCTCGAGTAATAGAAGCGATGCTGTTCGGTGGGTGCCTGGAATGCACGCATCGATTAATAAAAACTACATGGTGGGCAAAAGATGTCTCGCAGTCAGCTGTACTACATCCTGCTTATTAAATACGTCTGGACAAGAAGACCCTTGGGAAACAGCAGAGCATCCCATGGGATAGGTCGCTTGTGCACAAAACGAAGATCGAGCAAGATTCGTGCGGCGTAATTCCGGAATTTATGAAATTGAACGATCAGCAACCTCGACGGTACTAGACTCTTCAAATATGTAGGAGTGTTTACTCTTGTCCCTATCGTACTCGCCTACGCCATATGCTATGCGGGTCTAAAGTAGACGGTGCTAGATACAAGTACCACAAATATTTATCAGAAAGATGTCAAAAAATAAGAATCAGCCTTACACTCGTAATGTGTTGAAGGGATGACTGAGGTCGAAATCGCGTCTTCGGTGGGGGCATGGCACGGATAAGATCCTATTATCGCGACGAGCGAGATTTTGCTGGCTGGTGTCAGACTTTGCCAAATCCGGCGGGCAAGAGGGGTTGATTACGCCGAATTGAGCGGTTTTTATTTATGTATTCAATACGCCACCCTGTTAAGGTTTTTCCAGGCGATGTTTGAACGATTGAACAGCGATTACACTGTTTGAAAGTGCGGGAAACTCCCTATTACTTTGCATTTGACTCTGACTCACATTCCGAGAATCCATACCCTCCCACTCTTGATGCCGTAGTGAGATCCGGGAAAGCTGGCGAGCAGCCAAATTAGTAGATCTAGATTAGGTGTAGCGCCATTCCACACAGGGTCGAGCTCCTGTAATACATTGTTCGGAGCGCTGGTACACAGCTTGTTCGGGGTCAACGCGCACCTTATCTGCGAACACGCCTCTATTCGCTAGAGCCCGTCGGCCAGCGGCGACACAATCTATTGGACAGAAGGGAGGAGGCCGATTATCTGTCTGATCAGGCAGAGTAACAGGCAAAGTCATGTTTACTCATGTTCACTCAGGCTCGACTTCTTTATACGGTAGCGGCTTCGGCTTGAAATGTAATCATGTCGCTTACTCAAGACCAAAAGGTAACGAAAATGAGAAAGAACCATTGATTGAATATATGTAAGTAACTCCAAACTAAGTAAAAAAAAACTTCTAAACCTCTAGTGGTAGTGACAACCCTTAGGTTGAACTTCAATTGAAAGGGCTCTTCTGTGTGGAGTATGGTGAGGAAAGGTCTACTCTAAACCAGGGTGAATAACGGTCGAGGAAATCCTCGACCATGGCTCTCTACTGTGCGAGAGTAGTGCCGAGAGTGAACGTACGCGCGGAGAGCACAGACGGCTCGCGCATGGCGAGTGTGAATGTCCGCGCGAGAGATCGTAACTGATCAGGCGAAAATCCTCGACGTGCCGTTGAGGAATCCTCGACCGATATTCACCCTGCTCTAAGCAACATTGAAACATCAATGGATTGAAGAAAGGCCTGAGCAACACGCTACCTATCTAAAAAAACGTACACGGTGCACCCGGGATAGGGTTAACCATCCGTTGGACCAAGTCCAACAAGGGGGTCGTATTTGGGCCATTAAAAAGGGGGGTCGTATTCGCAAGGTCGGAGGCAGCGTCAACCTTACACCAACGGGGGGTCGTAGTGTGACGCTTTACGCTTTGTGAGTGCAGCCCCCCCCGCTCGACAGCTATCAAATACTATAGGATCAGCGAGGGGAGTCGCATCGAGGCCCTCTAGAGGGGGGGGGGTCGTAAGATTTTAGAAATTTGTTCAACGTGACGGTTGACCGTGCCTGGGATAACTACGTCATGTATAATATCAGGGCAGACCGCGGCAGCTCCAGGAACTACTTTTATATTCTGGTTGAAGTTTGGACTTTCAAAAAACGTAACATGTCGCTGTCGTTGCCCTCTTGCATCTTTCTAGTCCCAATGGTTTCCTATGATCACTTTATTTCCTCACGATAATTTTTGCCCACCCTGCATATTTCGAGTCTCAGAAAATTGACCGTTTTTCACCCGCTATAAGGTAACTTCCTCAATTTTTTCATTACGTGAGTATCCGATTGGCAACCTACAGATTTATGTATATCATATACATGCATAGCTTTCCACTTTGTGATGTGAAATAGTATTTTATTTCCGATTGGAAGCAGATCACTTTGGGGATCGTTTGGTATTCTTGAGAATGTCTACAAATGTTTCAAGATACTCACCGAAATGAAGCATCCATGGAAGTACTACCAGGTGAGCATAAGTATGTATAAATGAATCTTACGGCAGAGCCGACTTTACCGATTTTTGCTGTAAAAAAGCTGTCACTTGTTAGAAGAATATCTAGACCGGAATAGGAAAGTAGTAGAACCCGTGTAAAACGAAAATAGTTGAACAGCGCCACAAATTACCATTCAAAGCTGTGAGTGTGCAATGCAGGGTCGAAATCGGCCGAGGAAACGGCAACAGCTCGTCGAGGATTTTCGCCTGTCAGTCACGCTCTCCCGCGCGGATATTCACTCTCGCCACCCGCGAGCCGTCTGTGCTCTCCGCGCGTACATTCACTCTCGGCACTACTCTCGCACAGTAGAGAGCCATGGTCGAGGAATTCCTCGACCGTTATTCACCCTGGCGCAACGTCAGACCTGCACGAGTATGCGTGGGATGTACGCACAGCGAAGGAGACGATGGCACTCTGTAGCAGTCTAAACTTTGCGTCTGTCGCGATAACGCACGTTACTGTCAAAGGCGGGCCCAATGGGCGGGGCCTCCGGGCAGGTGTATAAAAGGGCTCTGCCATGCCAGTCAGGCGGCGTCAGTGTCGGTCGTCGGTCGTCAGTCAGCAGCTCTACGGTCTTCCTAGCCGTCCTCGCAGCAGCCCGCCATCTTCTGTCAAGCCATAGCTCCAAGCGCCCCGATGGCCCCGGACTGGACAACTAGGAACGGTAATAGGAACGTACGATGTTCCCCTACGTGCATTATCGATTGATTGTAAATGTGTTGGAGTAGTAACTTCGTAGGAAAGCGTCAACCTTACATCAGGGGTGCGTAGGTGTGACGCTTTACGCCTTGTGAGTGCAGCCCCCCGCTCGACAGCTATCAAATACTATAGGATCAGCGAGGGGAGTCGCATCGAGGCCCTCTAGAGGGGGGGGGGTCGTAAGATTTTAGAAATTTGTTCAACGTGACGGTTGACCGTGCCTGGGATAACTACGTCATGTATAATATCAGGGCAGACCGCGGCAGCTCCAGGAACTACTTTTATATTCTGGTTGAAGTTTGGACTTTCAAAAAACGTAACATGTCGCTGTCGTTGCCCTCTTGCATCTTTCTAGTCCCAATGGTTTCCTATGATCACTTTATTTCCTCACGATAATTTTTGCCCACCCTGCATATTTCGAGTCTCAGAAAATTGACCGTTTTTCACCCGCTATAAGGTAACTTCCTCAATTTTTTCATTACGTGAGTATCCGATTGGCAACCTACAGATTTATG